AAAAGTGATTAGTCAACTAGATTCTTACCTGGCAAGATTAGCTGAGGAAAACATTGGGACCGTTATGCTAGAGAATCGAAAAATCCAGCTGCTTATAGTCTTAATAGTTAGTTCCTGCCTAAAAGAAAAGTAAACAATGTAGCCAGTGTGATTCTTTGGTTTCATTTCTGCCAACCCTTTTCTTCACTGTACTCTTGAGTGTCTATTTGATTATTAATTTTTCTCCTAATTAGGGGCTCCTATTTGTTATTCTGAGTCATCCTTGTGCCAAAGAGAGTGAGTCATTGGGAAGTCCTGTGTTTCAATTGGTTGTGATTAACCCAAAGACGACCCTGAATATGAGAGTGATGCTGTACTGTCTTCCTCAAGGGCAGGCTGGAAGGCAAGTGTGTGGGTAACTACTATTCAGTGGGTGCAACATTTTAAAAGGCACTGTGCAGATACAAACACTAGATATTTTTGTGTCACTTAGATGAATGGAAAACAGGAAATACTACAGAACAAAAGAAAATGTTAAGAAGTAGAATGAAGTTTAATGGACGTGAGTCAAACCCCAGATTCCCTACATCCTGATGGGGATGGGACTTTTTTTTTTAAGTAAATTTATTTCAGGTTAATGTGAGGGTACAAAGAACCAGGTCAAAATGTTTGATTTTGTTAGGTAGAGTTCCTCTTGTGGTTGTGTCCCACACACAAAAAGTGTGGCAGACATCCCCACACCATGCCTGTTCAATGAGAGCACCCCCTATCCCCTCCGCCTCCGTTATTACTGCTCCCCCCAATATGAATTGACATGCATTTTTCTCCTGTGTGCACATGAATCAGATCATCTACTAGCTTCATATTAGTATTGAGTACATTGGATAATTGCTTTTCCTTTCTAGTGATACTTCACTAAGAAGAATGTGTTTCAACTCCATCTAAGATATTACAAAAAATGTGAAGTCAGCATCTTTTCATGGCTGACTAGTATTCCATGATATGCATGTACAGGGATAGGTTTATTAATATGTATTCAAACCCTGTATTTTCTCATGAGGAAAACATTTTAAATAAAAACAGAGTAATGAATGTTCTCTTCAAAAATCTCCCAAGTTACATTCTTAACCATAAAACCTAAACTCAGGAAGTTCTGAATGTACTTTATAAACAATTCTTCATTTTGAAATCTGACTATGCCTCCATCATACAAGCCGTTGTTATGTATTTATTCATAAATATTTATCTATTGATTGATGCCACTGACACAGTTTTTGACATCCCAAGAGTTTTCTGAGGTGTATAGAGCTTAGAAATTCTGCTGATACTGTTAGGTCAACCAACAGTATCTGAACATATAATTCCTAAAGATTACTTTCTTTTTTTCTTTTTTGAGACACAGTCTTACCCTGTCACCTGGTTAGAGGTGCAGTGGTATCATCGTAGCTTGCAGTAACCTCAAACTCCTAGGTTCAAACCATCCTTCTGTGTCAGCCTCCTGAGTAGCTGGGACTATAGCCGTGCACAATGCACAGCTTCTTTTTTCTACTTTTTCTTTTCTTTTTTTTTTTTGTTTTTTTTGGTTTTTTTGTTTTTGAGACAGAGTCTCACTCAGCCGCCCTGGGTAGAGTGCCTTGGTTATCCTAGCTCACAGCAACCTCAAATTCTTGAGCTCAAGAGATCCTCTTACCTTAGTCTCCTGAGTAGCTAGGACTACAGGCGCCCAACACAATGCCCAGCGAGTTTTTTATTTATTTATTATTTTTTTTTGAGACAGAGCCTCAAGCTGTCGCCCTGGGTAGAGGGCTGTGACATCAAAGCTCACAGCAACCTCAAACTCCTGGGCTCAAGCGATTGTCCTGCCTTCACCTCCCAAGTAGCTGGGATTACAGGCACCCACCACAACACCCAGCTATTTTTTGGTTGCAGCTATCGTTGTTTGGTGGGCCCAGGCTGGATACGAACCCACCAGCTCAGGTGTATGTGGCTGGCACCTTAGCCACTTGAGCACAGGCACTGAGCTGAGTTTTTCTATTTTTAATAGAGACAAGTTCTTGCTCATGTTCATGCTGATCTTGAACTCCTGGCCTCAAGTGATCCTCCCACCTCAGCCTCCAAGAGTGCTAGGATTACAGGTGTGAGCCACTGCACCCAGTCAAGACCGCCTTTATTAATGTTTGAAATTAGGGCTGAGCATGGTGGCTCATCCCTGTAATCCTAGCACTCTGGGAGGCCAAGGAGGGTAGATTTGCCCAAGCTTAGGAGTTTGAGACCAGCCTGAACAAGAGCAAGACTCTGTCTCTATTAAAAATAGAAAAACATGGTGGGCGCCTGTAGTCCCAACTACTTGGGAGGCTGAGTCAAGAAGACTGCTCAAACCCAAGAGTTTGAGGTTGCTTTGAGATATGACACCATGGCACTCTACCCAGGGTGACAGAGTGAGACTCTGTCTCAAAAAAAAAAAAAGAGAGAAGCAAAGATTGGAAAGATACTTAGAAATCAAGATCACAAAGTCTGGCTGTCATAACTCACAAGGATAAGGAATCTTCATAGTTACCATGCATGTTTCTTTGGACCTTATACAACGCTTACTTTATTAATACATGTTCAGACAGACATTCTCTATCTCTGTGCACTTAGCCAGCTTCTGCAGATGTTCTTAACAACCTCACAGTTATTATCTGCAGAATGTTTTTGCACATAGAACTTGCTTCCTTGGGTATGGAGAGAGAACCGTAGTCATTGGCCTAGAAGTTGAAGATAAAGATAAATAACTTGACCAAGCATTTCTTTTCTCACTTTTCAAATACATTTGTTCAGTAAACCTTGCGAGCCTATTTGGTATTTGGTGACATTCTTGGAGGAAGATGTCTCAGTCCATTCAGGCAGCTATGACATACTGTAGCCTGGATAGTTTATAAACAACAGAAATTTATTTATCATAGTTTTCCAGGCCAAAAAGTCTTCATATTAAGGCACTGACAGATTTGGTGTCTGGTGAAAGGCTCATTTTCTGGTTCATAGATGAAACTTGCAGCTGTGCCCTCATAGGGTAAAAAAGAGCAAGGCAGCTCTCTTGGCTCAGCGCCCAGAGCTCAGCAGTTAGGGCACCGGCCACATGCACTGGAGCTGGTGGGTTCGAACCTGGCCTGGGCCTGCTAAACAAAGACAACAACAACAAAATAGCCAGGCGTTACGGCGGGTGCCTGTATTCCCAGCTACTTGGGAGGCTGAGGTAAGAGAATTGCTTAAGCCCAAGAGTTTGAGGTTGCTGTGAGCTGTGACACCATGGCACTCTACCAAGGACAACATAGTGAGACTTTGTCTCAAAAAAAAAAAAAAAAAGGGCAGCGCCTGTGGCTCAAAGGGGTAGGGCGCTGGTCCCATGTGCCAGAGGTGGCGGGTTCAAATCCAGCCCCAGC